TGGTTCGTCTCTTTTAAATTTAATAGAGTTCTCTAAGGAAGATCCCAACGTACAGAGTTGGGGTGAGGATTCCAGGAGGGATCCCCCATAATACAGAGTTTGGTACACAGAGTATTGGATTGAAGCATAAAATATGGAATAATTGCTGTTCTGAAAGCTGGCAAGGTTTCCCAACCTTATTAATGAATCCGTTTTCCAATATCGTAATTCAGTGTCTGGTGTCCTACTTGTGTGTTTTTTCCTGATCAAAATACCAATCCTGTTCCTGGTTGCTATCAAAGTTTAAGTAATGTGGTTGAGCTGGTTCAAATGTCGTGATACAATCCGGCGTCTTTAATGAAACATAGGAGTGTGGCTTCCATGGAGGGATCATTTTCCAGGGAGTAGGACAAATTTGTAGGTGTCCTAGACCATTGTTTGAGACTATTGTTACTGCATTGACCATGATCTGAGATTGATCTCGGCCTCTTAAATGAAAGTGGCACTATCTCCAACAATCGAAAACTGTCGTAGCCACGTCCTTGCAACTGATGGAAATTGTTAGTTAAGGTTAGTTACTTAAGGTTCTACAAAGGGTAAATAATTTGTTTTCTTCTTCTTTTTGAAATATTCTTCGATCATCATTTTCTAAATGTATTGGTAAAATTCAGTCCAGAGCATGTCACCACGCCAAAACTGTCCATGTTTCATAAATTTCAACTGGTACGATGAGGAAAGTTTAACCATCTCTTTAAGCTTTTAAAGATTATCTATTGACCATCCAATATTGAACCCATCACTACATTTATATTCAGTTTGCCAATATTAACGATCAACCCCCTCCCCAGGACACCCCTTCCTGTATAGACAATAATCATGCGCCTAGCCACCAAGTCTAACAAAGTCAAGTCATCATAGTAGTTGATTGATTCAAAACCACACTTTGAACACCTATCCAAAAATGATTCCAAAAGTCAAACTTCCAGGTACACGATAAAAAAAAAAACTATCCTAAAGTATTGCGCATTTTGCACCTTAGTAGAAGCTCCTGAGCTGAAATTATTTTCTAAGCCATGATCCCTCACCTCACCCACAGGCGTGCATGCTTTGATCGTTTTTCTTGATTTGTTTTGATTATTTTTCACTTACGCGCTTGTCAGATTGTATTCAATTCGACAGTGAGCATGCATAAGGGCGTATACGCGATGATCGATTCTCTTCATCATTTTTCTCTTTGCATTGCTACAGCTAAGCGAAACAATTTTGTAGAATTTGTTCAATGTAGAGTTGTAATAGGTTGTATTGGCTTTCAAAAGCAACAACAAACGCACCGACAAACCTTAAATCTAGCGAGTTATTAAGAAAAGAGAAAATCGATGAAGAGAATCGATTCATACGCCCTTATGAATGCTCACTGTTGAATTGTTCTGTTCCACTGTTTTCCTATCGGCTTCATTCGCTTCATAGTCTGTGGAAAAGTTTATTGTACAAGTGTACATTCATCGATAGGTGGGTATTTTCAAATATCAGTTGTGAAATAATTAATCAAACGATTTCCTCACTCGCACAGATTGCAAGAGGAAAAACCAAAAACGGCGTCGCTTGGAAGCTTCGGAAAATCTGGAAACAGAAAATATGTCGCGTTTTTCGAGCCCCAATGACGAGATGAAATACCCCGAAGATGGCCAAGGAGGAGACGAACACTTGATCTCTGATTGTGATGATGACCCGGCCATGATTGTAGATTATGAGTTGAATTTAACCGGTGAAAACCGTGGCTACGCTCAATCTATGCTGCATAGAGGCTTGTATGTCTGTTAGCTGCTGGTATCGGTTCGTGAGTTTAGGGGTCAGAGTTCAGGAAAAGATGCAGGTAATTGGGGAGTTTCAGGAGACTCTCCTGCGGAGTTTGTGAAAAACTGTTGGTTGTTGTCCCAACAGTTTGACAAACGTGAGATCGTCTTGGTCTGTGATGGAAATGGTGTTGCCCAGCCGTCATGGTGCACAAAAATGCAACCGGATGAAGAAGATTTCAGTCGTTTCGCATTATTTAACGTCTAATCTTGTCACAGGTCACATACTGTTGACAAAATCACAGCAACAATTTTGCAAACCTGGAAGAACAAAGAAATTCATCTTCGTTCCGTAAGGACACTCTTTTAGAACCCGAGGAACGGGATAGAGCTGGTGCTGCGCCAACATATCGGTTGGACTATTTTCTGAAAAGTTACGTCAAACGCACGGGGATCATTGACAAGCAGTGGATGTTGCATGGATGATGTGGGCTAATGCCATTTTTGTCTCCACGAAAGCCTGGTGAACGAAGGACCTCCAGCGCATTTGGTGACGCTTTTCACAGCCAAAGAGCTGCCGCGATTGAGGCAAATTCGTCAGAACTTTATCGTGAATTCGCAATGAATTCTAGCACCATCAAAAATCCAAACAGAATGAACCCAGGGTAGCACTGAACCGTTCCAGATTCCAAAGCAAATTTTCTACAGCATTCGAAAAATTTTGCTCTGAGAATGCTTCAGTTAAACCTTCTTGTCCAATGAAGCATAACAGTGACATTCTGGGTTTTCTGACAAACTCACCCCTACAAATCAAACGTTCACCTCGTACTCCATATCCTCTAGATCTAATCATTGACCTATTATCAAAACTAACTTCAGCTAGGAAGATTAAATTTTGATAATCCCATTTGATTTCACTCATTTCTGAGGCAAACCGGACGACGTCTTCGCTACGTATTTGAAGTCTCTCGTCTACGTCTACGTCTCGCGAGTGCTTTCCAGCTAAGCCCTTCCTGGCGAAGGATTTGACAAATTGATGATGCAGACATGGCGATCCGGACCGTGTCTTCAAACAACCGCTTTGCCTCGTCCAGATAAAGAGTCAGTTTGCAGCGATACAATTCAACCAGCCATGTCCGCTTATCTGCACCAAATTCGTCGCGTTCGTATTTCTTTCGGGAATAAATCCGTTCTGTTGATACGTAGAAATCCATTTGGAAATGGTTGACTTATGCTTCCAATAGATGATTTAAGGCTTAGCTTGGGATAGACCAACGAAAAAGTATCCGTAAAGCGCATGATATGCTGTATTCACCGATGCCCGCTTCTGCGAAACTTGCAGCAAGATATCAGACATGGTGGTACAGATAATCAATAGACCTGATACATTAGAACTATTCCACAGCCGCAGTCAGTAATGAGCAAAAGGTGGACGCACATCTTTTGCCTGTAGATTTGAAGACATACTTCAAGTCTCCGCGTTCATCGTACGGGTTAGGCAAAAGATGTGCGTCTGTCTTTAAAAACTGTCGCATTAATGGCCCTTCGCTCATTTTCAACTTCTATTCAATTTTCATACTGCCATACTCTAACGGAACTATCCACCTACCCTCTTCTAAAGATTATTCTCTAGCTAATAAATTATCACACTAAAGCTTCATGTTAGCATTTCCAACTAGCTCTGATAATGCAACTACAAAAAAATCTATATACTTCTCTGAAGGTCTCTAGACGTTCTTCAAGATTTCGGAACATTCTAAAAGATCTCGCGATTTTCTTAAACATAATCTGATCGTTGCTGAAGTTCCTCCATTTTTTGCAGTTCTTTAAACTGCATTGAAAACCATGGAACTCTCTTAAAATGATCTCACATTTCCTGATGCTCATGTAACATCTCTTATGTTTCTGAAATTTAAATAAAGGTCTTGGTACTTTGATGAAGTTCCGGAAATTCCCTGAGTTTCTTGGAACTTCTTAAACATTCTTGAATTTCCTTGAAATAAGTTGAACTGTTCATAACTTTCTCTGATCAGTCCTTCTGCTCTCAAAGCATTCCTGAAGTACTCTCAATTCTATTGAAGTTCTTGATATTATCCTGAACCAAATAGAACTGAAAAAAAAAATCTCGAAGTTTTTCTAAAGTTTATGGAATTGACCGGAATTTATCGGACTTTACTCAAACAAATCTTCGAACTTCTCTGAAAGTCTGGAATTTATTGAATTTCACAAAGTTATGAAGTTATTGGAAGTGCCGTTAATATATCTGAAATTCCCTAAAGCTCTCTAGTCTAACTTCTTTGAGGTACTTGGAAGTTCTTTAAAATGTCAATTTTTCTCCAGCTATCCCCACATCTCTGAAATTATTTTGACTTCTCTAAAGTTCTCTGGATATCCCTGAATTTCTCAAATTTTCGTCAAAGTTCCTGTAGTTTCCTGAAGTTTTTGCAACCACCTTGAAAATCTTTAAGTTTGCCTGAAATTCACACAAATTTCCAGAAATATTGCGGAACTTTCCTTTTGTTCCCGCAGTTTGCCTATGAAACTTCCTGAAATTCTCAGTACTTCTTTTCATTCCTGAGACTCTCCTGAAGATCTCTATTGTTTCCTGAAGTTTATGAAACTTCCATTATGTTCTCCTGATTGTGTTCCTGGAATTATTCAGAAATTAATGGAACTGCCCTGTTGGAAACTAGTAAGCCATGAGGAAGACTTCAATTACAAATTTTCATTATCCTAACAACCACTGTTGATTGAAGTTCAATAAAATCTGTTATTCGATAATTATCGCTGTGCTTGATTCTCCGTTTATAAGTTAAATAAAACCCGTATACTAAACCACGCCAAAGTCACGAGTTCAAATCTCACCCCCGGACAAGTCACAAATGACCCAAGAGTGTTAAAGTGACTATAATAATTAACAAAAAAAAAACCGTATATTTTCAAGAACCTTTACAAAACAGAATTCCTACGGTAATTTGTGCGAAGAAGATTCAGTCTCGTCCTCAGGTGAGAGAAATGTCGGTGTGATTCATTCCAGAAGATTTTTAAACTTCCCGTTAAACATGGATCTTCTGTGTAGCTTTCTTAATGTTTCCTGAAGTTAATTTCCTGAAGTTTTTTTACTATCCTTAAATTTTCGGAACTTCTTGATGGTTTCCTCTATTTACTGAAATAAATGGTACTGCCATAAAGTTCTTGAAACGAACCTAAAGTTTTAGGAACGTCCAATTAGATTGCCCTGCAGCTGTCGAAGCTTACTCTAGTAGCATTGTTGGCACTGCTACGATCCATCTGCAGTCCCCTTGAACTCGTAACGGGCGGACGAGCAAAGATGCTGGTAGCCCTACCACCGCTTGTCATCGCTGCAGCCGTCAATGTACCTGTCAATCGTTGAAGATTTAATGAATAGAAAAAATATCAACAGTAATTTGCAACCTATTAAGTGATTGAATTGTATTCTTTAAAATTATTGTATTTCTTGCTTAAAACTAGTGAAATTCTACTTAAACACTAAATGTAATTATGAGACCTATTATTTACCTGCGAAACGTAACCTAACAATAAATATTTACAGCTCAAAGCTAGTTAAACTACGCTAAAAAGAGGTGCCTTGATTCCTAACCCTAGTTGTCCCGGCAACAAGCACCCTTGTTATAAATTGGTCTTGGAAACTTACATACGACTTATTTCAGTTATAAACAAGTTGCTGCAACTTCTTGGGACAGAATTGAGCTACTTGGGTTACTCTTAAAGATCTTTCAACTTTCTCACATTTCTATCAATCAGAACTTCTAAAAAGTTTCAACATTTTTTGATACATTCACAAGCTAAAATATGCAATCTAGTAATCCAGAATGCCTTTATACCTTTTGGTGGGCAACTTTTATAAGATGAGCATACGAAGATAGATATTTTGATCATTTTTACGAATTGACTACTTTTATAGATGTTCCGGATCCAGAGGACAGTTTCGTGACCACCAGTGTACGCATGCTGGTCCCAGATGCAAATTCATTCATGTAGCATCACAACAAGTGATTAAAAACTAGCTATTGTCAAACTAGCAGCCCGAATAGCAACACATTGGTGCGGTTGCTCTAAGTGTCGGAGAAGTTTGCAGGTTTGTTAGTGGGTAAATGTTGCTGACAGATTAATAATAAAAATGGGAAGAGAATATGACAGAGAGAAAAATTTCTCATGTAATCTTAAAAAGTTGGAAGGGTTGTATACTAGATACGACCGCAGGGTTGGCGTTGGATAACGTCTGTTATGTGTTGTACTTAATTGTGTATATTATATTTTAGGAATATTCCTTAATAACGCTTTTGCGAAAGTTTGGTGGCCCTGAAAAGGGCCGTTTTGTTGGGCTGATGTTGTTGACAACGATGGAACGGGCGACCTTGTTGGACGCTTATATAGTAGAACAGAAAATATCAGAGGTGTCAGATACTCGCATACGTACGTTAAACTCTTTCTTGATAATGTTGTGGCCATTTTTCCAACGCGCTCGGCGTAGTTGCCCTTGCGGAGCAGACGGTGAATACGACCGACTGAGAACTGCAGCAGCTGGGCATTCCATGACGGCGGCCCAGTATACCGGAGCACTGGCACCAACGCACTCGGCTCCAGGCTCTGCTGCCGCTGCTCTGCTGCCGCTGCTCTGCTGCCGTTGCTCTGCTTCCGCTGCTCTGGTACTGCTGCTCTGCTGCTCTGCTGCTGGGTCGACGATCGGATAGACAATGATGGAACGGGTGACCTTGTTGGACGCTTATATAGTAGAACAGAAAATATCAGAGGTGTCAGATACTCGCATCTGATGTCTCGGTTGGAGAAAGTATAAGAATATAAAAAAATCAATCGATTTTCACCATCTTTAGACAATGGTTTACTTTTAACCATTTTTCAATAGTTTACAGAATGAAATCAATAGTTTTGAAACATTCAACAAATTGCTAGAAATATTTCCAATCGATTGATGCCATTATCTCGTAAATCTATCGAGAGACGGTTGAGTTATTATCGTTCAAAATCTTTTAATTTTTCGTAACGCATCCAAAATGATTGTTTTCAATTTTGTACCCCCGTATGTTGCCGAAAGACGTTATCCAACGTCAAAAAAGTCTTAGCCTGAGATCTCACATTAACATCCGTTGATTTCATTGATTAAAATTAAAATTTCTAAGTTAAATCTATCACTTTATAACATTCAGTCCAGTGATCCGCTAGACCCAGTAGCGATCGGTCTGTAACTTTGAAAAATTCGATAATTTTGACTGAACTTCTAACTTTAAAAAATATTAAAATCTACCGTGCTGGTATTAGTTTTTTTTAGCATTTAGCTGTTTATACGAAACCGGGAAAAATAGCTGGACACATGGGAACAAAGGGAGTTTAATTTATGGAATCCATTGGCCATCTTGTGACCTTAATACAGAAATCCCCGAAGAGTGCGATGGGAGGTGCAGTCCACCCACTGCTATTTCTCGGCTATCCTTCAGCCAATTGAGCTAATTTGCTCTGTATTTGACCAGTTTATGCTTGTCACTAATCACGTACAAAAAATAAATTCAATTGAATAAGGACAGCTGAGAAATAGCGGTGGGTGGACGGTACTACCCACCGCGCTCTTCGGGCACCTTATTCTTCTGCTATAATTCATGCAGGTTTGTATATTAATATGCAATCATGACAAACAAAGCTCAGTAAACAATCCAAAATCATCGTTATAAAACTTTGTCTTCTCCCACAATTTTTGCACCATTCAGCAGAAAGCCAGCATATATCACTGCCATATTTTGCCAAACAATAGCAGCAAACAATCGTAAGTACGGGAGAAAACTCTCATCTCCGGGATTCCAGCTATTGCAAAAAGAAAAGAAAATAAATCTCCCATTCAGTATTTATGATAAATTAAACTACTCACTATCTCAATGGGAAAAATCCAGACTCTTCTCCCACAACCGCTTTTCGACGAGTTTCTATACAAAAGCTGAATGGTCTTCATGTTAACTGGTGGTGAGCGTGAACGGTGGTGGCATGGGGTTGTGAATGTGCTCCGGAATGTGCACTGTAAAAAACTCCAACCAGAAGCCAATGCATAGGTACCTATAGGTATGGAAGCGCAGTAATAGTGAAGGTGCTGCGCTGAGGACCAACCGGAGATGTGAATCTCAGAACCCGAAGGACTTCTCACCCACAAAACCAAGCCCAAACGAACTTACCCGGACACCAGGGGTGCTCCATAGTTAGTTCCCTGTCACATACCAGCGTCGCAGAAGCAGGAAAGTGGAACAAATGCGAAAGGGAAAAACTTTATCCATTCTTGAGTGGAATATGGTTTGTGCGATTGGAATGCGGACTGCGAGGGCGGAAATGAATACCCTCCACGCCCGCACTGTGCCTCACCCAACACATCCTCAATTCAGAGCAAAGTGCAGCTGTAAAACTGCATTCAGCTATCGGCAGTACTTTCCGCAGCTGTTTGTGATTTGGTCTCGTAATGGATATCGTTTTTTGTTTTGCATTCTTCGTTTGTGCGATTTTCAAGCTTTTTCCTGGGCCAACCCTCCATCCCAGCTTTTGACGACAAAGCGGATGAAAAGCCGGAGAATAGTTTTTATTTCCGCCACAAAGCGCCGCCGTCGTTGTCGTCGTCGCCGGGGAGCAGTAAAAAGTGAGTGCTGTTTTCAAAGGCTCATTTTCCGAAAAAAAAATAATAAAGCCCCCCGCAGGCAGGGTGGCAGAAATGCAATCCGGAAAAGAGAGTTTGAATGGCGTGTGGTATTTTTATGCTTCGAAATGCATCTATTGTTCATTGAAAATAGTAACATGGTTTTGTTACATTCGTGCTACAGAAAACAAAAGAGTTGCAGTAGGGTTTGATATCTGACGATCTTTTGCGCTTTAATTGTGCTTGTAATGAGTGCTTTGTTGGGTGGTGTTTCGATTGGAATGGGAACTTTGGAATCGATCCGTGCATTATCGAAACCTTTCAATACCGAAATGAAGACAGGACTAGGCAGTGCCATTACTGTATAGCGTAAACGAATAATCCTTTATTTTGATGAACTCCAGAACAAATTATCGAGAAATCTCATTAAAACTTCATCTTAACTCTAGGAACCAAACATCGTTATCTTCGAGCTCCAAAGCCAACTTTCCGGTCGCTCATCCATGGAAACGACCCATTACGGAACGGAAATCAATTTCTGCCCAACCGAACGTTTTAATTATCATCGAACCAATAAACAAGTCGGTTGCAAGCACGGACATAATCACATTGTCTCCGCTTTGGCTCTCTCGCTTCTATCTTTCAGCGCCACCACACCACTTTGTATCATCATCGTTTGGAATTGGATGGCACGCTCCTTCTTTGTCCATTTATATTGACTCAAATGGATCGATCGTTGTTCGTTCCCCAATTTTTAACGTGCAGCTGCACTCCCCCACTGGGCCTTGATTGATGTTGGCTTTTCATCTGTTTTCGGTTCTTTCCATCCATTCAACAAATGAGGTACCTCCACGTTTGCAAACACATCCACCAGAAATGACAAAGTCCATTCAGCTTTCTGGTAAGCGGACGAAACGGACTGCAACTTGCGACCCATCGGAAAAGTGGAAAAGAATGAGTTTCCTATTACTATGAACATCAAACAAACTCGCCATTGGGGGAGGGGGAGAGGATCTGTGTGCAGAACCACAATAGCCGCTCGGTAAACATGGGCACTATCCCTTCGTAACCAACTCGTCACCCGTCTCTCAGAATATTTTGCTATGTTTAAGCATCGCACCCAGAGATGTGGCATTTTTCCAATCAGGTCGAAAACCACCAACGAGAGAACGAAATTTGAGCATCCCAAATTCATCGTAATACTCCCGTGGGCTGGTTGTGGGTTGAACTAGAAAATCTGAGCCGGAGAAAAAAGTTTCTATGAATTTTTCATTGTATTTTTGATCAGTACATGAAATTCAATATTTTATATCCAAGTTTTTTACGTCCTGCTGTTGTTGTGGATGTGCCCCTAAGCACACGTCCGTCAATACATAGCGAGTTGAACCGAACACACCAAGCCTTTATCGATAGTTGAAAACGAGGACATGCCACGGTTCGTTGTAGGAGAATTAGTTTAGAGGGTTGTGTCTCGGTTGAGAGCCCAGCACCGTTCAATATAGAGGTTTATGGGAGGAAGTGTTGACCACCAACAGGCAGCGCACAGCCTGTTCGGTACGCTGCTGCATGGCATACTTATTCGATGAATTCAGCTCATGCCGTGCTGGTCATGTGAACTCTCGAGGGGGAAAACGCAAACTGGGGGGAAATCACGGACCTACGTGAAATTACGTCCTCCGGATGGTTGGCTAGCTTCAAATGGTGAGAGCT